CGTTTCGTACACTGTGTTTCGACGATTTTCAATCGCAATTCGCAGTTTCATTTGCGGCCCGCGCTTCAGGACACTTTGCGCCGCCGAGTTAAAAGTGTGTGTGTGTGGGTGAGGGAATGAGTGCGTGTGGGAATGTATATGTGTTTGTTTGCGCGCGTGCGTGCGTGCGTGTGTGTGTGTGTGTGTGTGGGTGTATGTGTGCCTGCGTGTGCGTGTGCGTGTGTGCATGTGTGCCTGTCTGGCAGTCTGCCTGCGTGCCTGCGTGCCTGTGTGCCTGCGTGCCTGTGTGCCCGTGTGCCTGTTTGCCAGTGTGCCCGTGTGCCTTTGTGCCTGTGTGCTTGTGCGCCTGTGTGCCTGTGTGTTTGTGCGTCTTTGTGTGAATCCGAGCATCTGTGTGCTTGTGTGTCTGTATACGTGTGCGTCTGTGTGTCCGTGGGTCTGTGGACCTGTGTGTCTGTGTGACTGTGCGCGTGCGTCTGAGCTTCTGTGCGTTTTTGTGTCTGTGTATATGTGTGCCTGTGTGTCTGTGTATATGAGTATGTGCGTCTCTGTGTCTGTGTGTCCTTGTGTCTGTGTGTCCGTGTGTCCTTGTGTCTGTGTGTATGTATGTCCGTGTGTTTGTGTGTCTGTGGGCCTGTGGGTCTATGTGTCCGTGTGCCCTTGTGCATGTGTGTCGGTGTGTCTGTGCGTATGTGTGTGTGTGTGTCTGTTTGTCTGATGGTCTGTGTGGCTGCGTGTCTGCGTGTCTGTGTATATGTGTCTTAGAGTATGTGCGTCTGTGTGTCTGCGTGTCTGTGTGTCTGTGGGGGTGTTCAGGTGTGGGTCTGTGGAGATGGTGGTGCGTAGGCGTGGGGGTGTGGGGGTGCGTGGGCGTGGGGGTGTGGCTGGGGCTGGGGCTGGGGCTGGGGGCTGGGGCTTTGGCTGGGGCGTGCGCGCGCGTGTGTGTGTGTGTGTGTGTGTGTGTGTGTATGTATGTATGTGCGTGTGTGTGTATTTGTGTGTGTACGTGTGTGTGTGTGTGTGTACTTGTGTGTGCGTGTGTGTGTGTGTGCGTTTTTGTGTGTGTGCGTGTGTGTGTGTGTGTGTGTGTTTGTGTGTGTGTGTGTGTGTTTGTGTGTGTGCGTTTGTTTGTTTGTTTGTGCGTGCGTGCGTGCGTGCGTGCGTGCGTGCATGCGTGTGTGCGTGCGTGCGTGCGTGTGTGCGTGTGTGCGTGTGTGCGTGAGTACGTGTGCGCGTGTGCATGTGCGTGTGTGAGTGTGAGTGTGAGTGTGCGAGTGTGAGTGTGTGTGTGATGTGGGTGTGAGTGTGATGTGAGTGTCAGTGTGCGTGGGTAGGGGAATGCGTGAGTGTGTGTGTGTGTGTGTGTGTTTGTCTATGTGTTTTCTTGTATGGGTGACTCCATGTGTGTGTGTGTGGATCTCCATGCGTGTGGAAACACTTGCGTCTGGAACCCCATGTGTGTGTGCGTGGAAGGACTGGTGGGACGGGAAGCCAAGTCACAGTGAAACAAGCAGCCAGTGGACAAAATGCGGCAGGAAGGGCCAGTAAAGACTGAAGCCGCAGGGGTCCACAGGAAACCAAGCCATCGGGATCAAAGCGGCCACCAGGCAAAGTGGAGCAAATCTGGCCAGCTTCTTCGAGCGCAAGTCCGAATCACAAGCACTGTCTAGGGTCATGGGCAGACGTGCGTAAGTATATAAAAACGCACACGTGTGTACAGTTAAGTATGGCCTTCGACCCATCCCGCCACCATGCCTGGGTTGTGGATCAGAGGCCCCTTGGATACCCCTTTGGGGTCCTTTTGGGGTGCCTCTCGTGGGCCTCCTGGAAGCCTCTTGGCGGTCTCGGAGGCCACCTCGGCACAAGAGGCACCGCGTGGCCAGCTTGGGCTCACCCCCCTCTCCGGGGCCGAGAACCGTCCAGAACCCACGGTCCTCGATCGGCTGTGGCTTCGGGACAAGCCGGACGCGCTCGAAGCCCGCTCGGCGGCGGCCCGCGACCGCCCGCGGTGGCCACCGACCGCCGCGGCGACGGGCGGCAGCCAGCGGCGCCGGTCGTGCTCAGCGGTCGCTCGGCGGCGGCCCGCGGCGGCCGGCGGCCCGCTGAGGCCCGGGCACGCCGCGGTCCGCAGCACAGGCCGCAGCTCCTCCGCGCCCCGGCCGCGCCAAGCTGCCCCGCGCCGGCTTCCGCCGCCGCGGGCCGTGGGAGGAGGGGGAAGAAGGGGATGGAAGGGGGGGAGGGAGGGAGGGAGGGAGGGTGGGAGGGATGGAGGCAGGCAGGCAGGCAGGCAGGCAGGCAGGCAGGCAGGCAGGCAGGCAGGCAGGCAGGCAGGCAGGCAGGCTGGGAGGCATTGCAGCAGGCAGGCAGGGAGTAGATGAGGAGGAGCAGGAGGAGGCTGAGGAGTCAGGAGAGGGCGTAGACAGGAGGAGTGACAGCAGGAGGAGGGACAGCAGGAGGAGACAGCAGGAGGAGTAGGGGAGGGCGAAGGAGTATAGCAGGAGCAGCAGGAGGAGGAGGAGGAGGAGGACGTGGAGGAGGTGGAGGGGGAGGAGGAGGACTGAGGAGGAGGGAGGAGGAGGAGGAAGAGGAGGAGGAGAAGGAGGAGAAGGAGGATAAGCCTAGGATGCGTCAGTGATGCCAAAATGTGCAGTCCCGTTCTTTGCCCCCTCACCCCTTATTGATCCACCGTCAAGTTTTGTAGACGTATGCGGTTCTTCCTAACCAGCCATACACAGGGAATCGGAGCAAAATTATGTTTTCAAAAGTTTCCCGACTTGAAAAGCGAGGGCCAATCAGGGTTCCCGCAGAGCCCACGACGGCCAGGATGGGCTCAAAATGATTCTGGCATCATTGACGAGACGCCGAGGAGGGTCCCACAGGGCGTCCAGGTCAGGCCAAGACGGCCCAAGAGGGGTGTCCCAGTGGCGCAGCCCGCATGCGTCTTCCCAACCCAGTATTGCTCCTCATGCAGTATCGAGCGTGGCCGGCACGATCTGCTGTCCGCTGTGTTGTTCTGGCCGGACCTCGGGGTCCACCTCACGGGCACGATGAGGTTGCCATTGGTCTGCTGAGTGGGTCGGCGTCCTCTTCAAAAAAGCACCCAGTGCTGCTCTTCGTGACCCCATCGGGATCTCTTCCGAAGGTCCCAATGGCCGCGGCCGCATGCGCCCCCCCGCCCGTTTCGGCATACCTCTCACACACTTCGTGGCCCCGTAGAGAGCTCCACCGAAGGCCCCAGTAGCGCAGGTCGCATGCGGTCCCCGCACGGATTTCGGTACACCCCTCACACGTTTCGTGGCCCCATAGGAAGGTCCACCGAGGACGATGCCCACGACTGCGCTACCCACAACTGCATATGGTTGGGTCTTTCGCCAGGCCAATGTTGCACGGGGTTCTTAAGCAAATATGACGATTGATGAAACTCGTGCGCGTGCATAATATTATTTGTCAGGGGTGAGGGGTGTGGGACTACCGGCACTCCATGGGATGGTGTGCGTTCGTGTTCAGAATTAACCATGGGCCCGAAACATTTGCAAATTGTTGTATCCCAGCGGGAACCGACGAGAGCAGAAGGTGGGAGCGGTAGATCAGAATTATCTTTTTAGAAAGGCGACTCTACGTGGTGCAATCTAAGCTGTGCAATTCACCCTGCCGAACTTGAAGTGGTCAACTCCAGTGCTCGCGCTCCCGCCCACCCACCCGCAACTTGGCAAAGCCCATGCGGCGGCGGTTGCGATGACTGCTTGGCGTTGGCTGGCGCATCGCTGCGGCCGCGCTGGCGCGCGCAGGCTCGCGCGCAGAGCGGCCAGTTAGTCTGGCGCGACTGACGCGGCCGCGGTGGCGCTGACTGCTGGGGGCTTCCCAGCACGTCTCACAGGCTGCGCTTGCGCGTGCAATCTATGCTGCGCAAACTGTGCAATCTACGTGGTGCAATATATGTGCTTCACTTGACTACCCTGCACCGCGCGTGACCATCTCCTATGCTCGTGCAATCATCCCACCCCTCCACCCGCAACTTGGTTTGCAAAACCCTTGCGGCGACGATTGCGATGGCTGCTTGCCGCTGGCTGGCGCATCGCTGCGGCCGCGCTGGCGCGCGCAGGTTTTCGCGCAGAGCGGCCATCTAGAATGGCGCGACCGACGCGGCCGTGGTGGCGCTGACCGCTGGGGACTTCCCAGCGCGTCTCGCAGGCCGCGCTGACGCGCGGGCAGTTCAGTGCGAGTCGGTGATTCGGGCGGACGCGGTATCATGGAACCGTTGATGCGGGCAGACACGATGATGATAGCAGCGGTGCTGGTGCCTACGATGGCGATGGCGACAGCAAGGTCAACGACGGCGGTGTCATTTGACACGGATCGTGCCCCCCCCCAGCACGCGCGCAAGGATGTTCGATGATTCCGACATGCGCGCGCGCGAGAGGCCCGTTTGGTCGAATTTGACGAGACCGTTGCAACACTTATGATTTCGATAAGAATTCGCAGCAGTGCGCGTGCAGATTTTTGGAAGGGCCATGTTGGAACAAAAACATGTTGTGTTTGTTCATATGGATTCGGGAACCTCGATCTTGAAATTTGCGCGCGCCCGATGGTTTCCGAGGGATGTCGGCATGCGCGCGCGACGACGCGCGTTTGTGCACACTTCGCCCCTTTCTGTTGCGAGCTTTGCGCATGGATGATTGTTGATAAGGCCGCGTGCGCGTAGTATCAGTTGTACGGGATGAAAAGGGAAGGGGGATTACCGGCTTGGCTGGGGTGGTATGGATTTAATTGGATTCAGACGGAAAATGAGCGATGGTGCAAAATCATATACAAACTGCACATTCCACTGGGAACCAATAAGTCCGCTGGAAAAGGGCGGTATATCCTAAGTCGTGATGGGAAAAGGGGTGTTGACGAGGCGTCGACGAGGCGGCGACAGGCGGCGACGGCGACTACATAGCGGCCACATTGCCGCACACCGAGCATACGGGCGGCAACGAGGCGGCGACGGTGACTACATAGCTGACACACCGACACACCGGCCCACACGACGGGCGGTGACGAGGCGGCGACGGGGCAGCGACGGCGGCTACATAGCCGCCAGGCCAACGCACAGGCCCACACGACGGGCGGCGACGACACGGCGACGGGGCGGCGACGACGGCTACAGTGCCGCCAGACCGATACACCAACCCGGTTCCCTCGAACAGAAGCGAGAACTCGTAAGTGCAGGCACTGTACGAGGCATTTGGATTTTCTGTTTTCGCAGGTCTTCCTGCCTAGCGCAGCGTCCCGGGAGGAGTAAGAGGAGGAGGAGGACGCACGCCCGTCCTGAAACGCTGTCTGCTGAGGGACAAACAGGAGGATGAGGAAGAACAGGAGGAAGAGGAGGGCGAGGAGGAGGAGGAGCTTCTACGACAGCCTCACTACGGTTTTCACTACGAGTCCAGCTGCAATTCCTGCAGAGCTTGCGCTACAGCTCCCACGACAGCTCCTACGACACCTTCTTCAGCAGTTCCCAATGCAGATCCTACTGCAACAAGTCCTACAACAGCTCCTCATTCGGGTAGTACCACAGCTCCTGCAATAGTTCTTGTTGCAGCCAGTGGTACAGTTCTCATCTCAGCTCCTGGTACGGGTCCGAGTACATGTGACGTTACACACCCTAGTACCTATCCCAGTTCAGCTCGTATTGTAATTCCCACTGCAGTCAGTAACACAGTTTTCCGTACCGTCCCGAGTAAGTTCTTCGTTCGCATCTCAATTACAACCAGTAGTATAGATCTAAGCACAGTCTTTAATGTGTCTCCCACTACCGCTTTAAATGATGTTCTATCGAATGTGTCCAGTAGTACAGCTTTCGTTCTTGCTCCGATTGGAATGTACACTGGTTATTCTCTTGCAGGTGATCCTAAGGTTCCTTGGCACAGCCAATAGGGCAGTTCCCACTACACCACATCAACTCCCACTACACCTTAAACTACGAACCCGCTTACCTACAGCAAGCTGCAAAGTTCCTTCACGTCTGTTATTTCTACGCCTCCCACTACAGCTCCGACAGCAGTTCATACAACGGCTCCTTCTACACCTCATATAGCAGTTCCGGCTACAGCCACTAGCTTTACAGGTACCTTCACAGGTGTTGTTACAGTTCCTGCTCCAGAGCATGTTACGCATCCGAGTCGTGCAGTTCTTATCGCAGTTCCCACTATAGCCAGCAGTACAACTTTGCACACTGTGCCTAATCACCCTCTTGCTACGAACCCAACAGCAATCAGCAGTGCATATCCCAATGCGGCTCGCAATGCGCCTCCATCTGCAGTTCCTAGTTGAGTTCCTCGTGCAGCCAGAAGCACAGCTCGCACCGCAATTCCTGCTACAATGCTTACTACATCGATCAATGCATCTCCTACTGTAGCTCCCTGGCGCAGCATTGGCTACAACGTCCATTGCAGATCTTGTTTGAGTGGGTCGTAGAACTCTCAGCGAAGCTTTTACGATTGCCCCCGCTACAGCTCCTATAACAGGTCGTACTACAGTTCCTACTACACTCAGTAGTACCACCTTCTCGCAACTCTTACCACATGTCCTACAACTTCTCGCATTTGCTCCTACCACAGCCATTACGGCAACTCTCCATATTATGGATCCGACGACAGCCGAGACCAACAATTCTAAACGCTTCGCGTAACCCCACCAGCCCATCCAGAAACGATGCCCCGAGGAAGTGCCTCGATCAGGGAAGTGGGCAGCACACAAAGGAAGGGTACCCCAGTGGAGGCCGGTTGGAGCGGCGTCTTAGGGGCCTCTTGGCGGTCCCGGACGCCTCTTAGAGCGTCTTGGGTGCTTTGGAGAGCTTCTTGGGGCCTCTTGGGGGTCTCTTGGGGGCCTCTTGGAGGCCTCTGCGGCGCTTGTTGGGGCCTCCTGGGGCCTCATGGGCGCCTCGTGGGGCCCTCTTGAAGCGCTCTTGGGAGCCTTCAGTGCGCTCTTGGAGCCCTCTTGGGCCATCTTGGAGTCATCTTGAAGCCTCGGATGGCCATCGGAAGCGAAAAGGCGAGAAAGCCCAAAATGTTGATTTTCCTAAGGTTTTGGAAGGATTTTGGCCTCTTCGGGGCCTCCTGGGGGAGCTCTTTGGCCACTTGGAGCCGTCCTGAAGCGGTATTGGGGCCTCTTGGAGCATCGTGGGAGCCATCTTGAGGCATCTTGGGATATCTTGAGCCATCTTGGAGGTCATCTTGGGCTCTCCCAGGCGCTCTTGGAGTCATCTGAAGCAGTGCCACCCCCCCAGGAGGCCCGAATGTGGCCAAAACCTTAGTAACATCAATGATTTGGGCATTCTCGCCGAGGCCTCTTGGAGCGTCTTGGGTGCCTCTGGGGGGTCTCTTGGGGCCTCGTGGGGGTCTCTTGGGAGCCTCTTGGGGGCATCCTGGGGGCCTCTTGGGAGCTTCTTGGGGCCACATGGGGCCATCTAGGGGCCATCTCGGGGCCTCTTGGGGCATCCTGGGGGCCTCTTGCGGCCATCGTGGAGGAAATCGATCAAAGAAGAGGGGAGCCTTAATTAGCGTTGCCCCCTGAGAAGGCCAAAATGGAGCCAAAACCATAGTAACATCAATGTTTTTGGCTTCCTCGCCGAGGCCGTTTTGGACGCTCTGACCGCTCCCCGCCCCTCCTGTCCAGGTCAGTGGGGAGGGGGTAGGGGGAGGGGTAAACCCCTCCCCGAAGGGGAAGAGGGAGGGGTGGAAGAGGAAACGCCCTAAACCACCGACGCCCAGAGGGCTGGTGGGATTACATTTGGTACCACGGCTCCCGATGTAGTTTCTAACAAATATCATGTGCCAGCTATTCTTGCGAGTAGTTCTACAGAACGGGGTTCAGATCTCAATGCAACTCTTGCACCATATCCTATTGCTACAGTCAGAATCACAATACTGACAATTATATTGCAGATAATCTCCCAGTTCGCGTTTGAACCAGTAGTACTGGTCCCCCTCTAAAGCGTACGACTGTCTGCGTTGTATTGACTGTTGATGATGTTGATAAGTACAATCGTGAGTACGATTAGCAGAGGAGGTGGAGGAGGAAAGGAAAGCAGAGGAAAAGAGATGAGGAGGAAAGAACACGGCGAGAAGAAGGCAGGATCAGGAAGAGGAGGAGTATAGGGAAGAAAGAGGTGGACGATGAGAAGAAGAGAAGGAGGAAGGGAGGAGGAGGAGGAGGAGGAGGAGGAGGAGGAGGAGGAGGAGAAGGAGAGGGAGGAGGAGGAGGAGGAAATGGAGGATACGCCTAGGATGCGTCAGTGATGCCAAAATGTACAGTCCCGTTCTTTGTCCCCTCAACCCTTATTGATCCACCGTCAAGTTTTGTAGACGTATGCGGTTCTTCCTAACGAGCCATACACAGGGAATCGGGGCAAAATACCGAAGAGGAGGAGGAGGAGGACGAAGAGGACGAGGAGGACGAGAAAGACACAAAGGATAGATGAGCGGGAGTCGAAAGTAAATCGGTGTGGGTGCTGGGGGGTGGCGAGCCTCACAATGCGAAAAGGCGAGCCCGAACGCGAGAGCCGATGCCGAGGACGGGGCGACTGCCGCCGAAGCCGAGGAGGCACAGCCACGGCCGAGCCGAGCCGAGGCGGGCCGGGACGAGGCTGGCCCAGGAGGAGGGGGGGAGGAGGAGGTCGACGACGAGGACGAGGACAAAGAGGAGGACGAGGACGAGGACGAGGACGAGTATGAGTGGACGGCGGACGAGGACGAGGACGAGGACGGGACAGGACGATGACGAGGACGATAACGAGGAGGAGGGTGAGGGAGGGATGGAGGAAGGGGAGGCAAGGAGGTAGGAGGATGAGGAGGAGGAGAGGAGGGGGAGACGGGAGGGGGAAGGGGGCAGGGGTGGGGGAGAGGGAGGCGGAGGCGGCGGCGGAGGCGGAGGCGGAGAGGCGGAGGCGGAGGCGGAGGCGGACGCGGAGGCAGAGGGGGAGAGAGACGGAGGAGGGAGGAGGAGGAGAGAGGAGGGAGGAGGAGGAGCAGGAGAGGGGAAAGGGGGAGGGGGAAGAGGAGGGGGGGTGGGGAAGGGGGAGGGGAGCGGAGGCGGAGCGGAGGCGGAGGCGGAGGGGGCGGTGAGGAGGAGGATGGGAGGAGAGGAGGAAGGAAGGAAGGGGAAGGAGGAGGAGGCAGAATGGAGGAGGATGAAGAGGACGGCGGGAGGAGGAGAGGCAGGAGGGAGGAGGGAGGTAGGAGGAGGAGGAGAGAGCCCGGGAGGGGAGCGGGACGGGACGAGGAAGGCCAGGCCCAGGCCGAGGCCGACGGCAAGGCACGGCCGAGAGGCCGAGGCCGTCGGGAGCTCGGCCGCGGCGGCGCGCGCGCTGCCTTGAGAGGCGCCCGGGAGCCTGGCGGCGGCGGCCGCGGCCCCGAGCAGCCCCGTCGAGGACGGGGGTCGGGCGGGGGGGGGGGCGGCGGAGGCCTGCGCGGAGGCCAGGGGGGGGGGCACGATGGGGTGGAGGAGGAGGAGGAGGAGGAGGAGGAGGAGGAGGAGGAGGAGGAGGAGGAGGACGAGGAGGAGGAAGATGAGGGGGTGGAGGAGGAGTAGGCAGAGTGGGCGGGCAGGAGCAAGGCTGGCTGGCTGATGTGGCCCATGGGACGATGGCGACGGTAACGACGACGATGGCGGCCCAGACGGCGACGATCAGCAGGAAGGGGGGGGGCGAGGGAGACATGGACCAGAGAGGGAGGGAGGTTGGCAGCAGCAGCAGCAGCAGCAGCAATAGCAGCAGTGGTGGTGGTAGCAGTGGTAGTAGAGGCCGACCAAAGAGAAACAGTAGTAACGGAAGTATCGGTGGCAATCGCAGTGGCAGCACATGTTGTATTATTCGTGTGCCCGCGGAAGCCATAGCAGTAATCCCAGCAGCAGTCTCATCAGCAGCAGCCGTAATTGTAGCAGTGCCAGTGGTAGCTTCAGCCTCTGCAAATATAGCGGAACATGGCACGATTGCATCAACGCGTCCACGTTATTCCAAGCCCTACATCATACACATGCAGATGTACGATCGCATACGTAGATGTGCACATATACGAGTTCATACGCATATATACAAACGCATATATACATTTACATCGACGTATACCTATACATGTAGATGTGCGTAAACATTTACCTGTACACAAACATGTACATTCACGTAATCCTTTTCATATACGTATGATTATTCATGTACATATATGTGCATATACACATATACACACGTACATATGTACACCGCATGCACATGTATACGTGCATACGCATGTGCATCTACGTATGCATATCGGCATTGGCATATACGTGTACACAGCCATGTACATATGCGTACACAGCATCTGCATCTGCATACATACATGTATTCATAAACATAGCCATATGCACATGCGCATGCACACACACACCAACATCCCAGTATTTATTTACAAACGTTTCTTATGTTGGTCGTTCGCGCCATCCCAGTTTGCCTTGAACATTTGCTCCCTTCGCTGCGATGGTTTTCGGAAGTCTTCGAAAGTTCGGGCGCTCCGTGGCCTTTCCCGGGCCTGAGGGGGTCCGGAAAAGCGCCAGGTGGAGGGCGAAGGATAGGAGGGAGGGAATCTCGAGGAGCGAGGAGAGGGAAGCGGATGTGGGGGAGAACGAGTGGTGGAGCGGCAGAAAGAAGAGGAGAAGGAGGAGGAGAAGAAGGAGGAGGAGGAGGACCAGAGGTGGAGCAGGAGGTGGGAAAGAGATGGCGCCGTCGAGGGACGGCAAAGAATTTCGGTTGCGCCGCACCGAGGGGCGCTGTCCAGAAACCAACGGCTACGGTTTCATGTGTGCGTACACGCTTACAGAAACTGTGTACTCACACGCTTGCAGAAATGTTTGGCAGTGGTTGACGGCGAAAGGCTTTCGAAGGTCCGCACATTGCCCGCTCGTGGCTCAGGTGCCCCTGCGCGCAATGCGAAGGAATGGTAAGCCACGCGAGTGAATGCCAAGCGAACCGACGCAATGTCAAGTTCTGCCGCAAAGTACGAAACAATGCCAAACCAAGGATGTCATGTTGCAGCGGGTCGCAACGGGGCACGCGAAAGTCAGCAAGTCTTCGGGAAAATGCACCGAATCCCAGGTTCGCAACCGATTTCCGGGAAATGCGGCTGCGAACCCCGGATTCGGGCCAGTTTGGTGGAAAACGCCGTGTGGGCGTTGTTGGAGCCTTGGTGGGCCGCCTCGATGCCCCCTTTTGTTCGCAACCGATTTCCGGGAAATGCGGTTGCGAACCCCAGATTCGGGCCAGTTTGGTGGAAAACGCCGCGTGGGCCTTGTTGGAGCCTTGGTGGACCGCCTCGACGCCCCCAGTTTTGGGCAGTTCGGGGCAGTTCGGGGCAGTTCGGGGCAGTTTGGGGCAGTTTTGGGGCAGTTTTTGGGAGTTTCGGGGCAGTGTTGGGCAGTTTTGGGGGCCTTGGGCCTTCGAGGGACCTTGCGGGGGCTACGTGGGCTCTCATGATGGCTTTCCATGGCCTGCGTGGGGGCCTCCCGTGGCCTTCTTGGCATTGTCCGGGGGGCCTTGTGAGGGCCTGTTTGGCCTCAGTTTGGCTTATTTGGGGCTTCCTTGGGCAGTCTTGGGGCCATCCAGGCCGTCTAGATGCTCTCTTAGGGGGTCTCTTGGGCCGTCTTGGGGCGATACCGGAAGCCTTTGTGGCTATTTTGGACGCTGGGAAGACCCGAACAGCGCAGCGCATATGCTGAAATTGTACGTTTTCCGTCGGGAGTGAAGCGGTTCTTGCGTCCTGGGACTCCTGTTCAGGGCCTCCTGGGCCGTGTTGGGAGCCTCTGGAGGCCATCTGGGTCTTTCTTGGAGCGCTCATGTGCTGTCCTGGGTATCTCTTGTTGTTGTTGCTGCTGTAGTTCGGGGGCCAGGGGCCCAATCTGAGCCGCAAGATTCCCCCGGGTAGAAAACAGGGTGCGAGCCCCAGGCAGAGCATTTGCATTGAAAAACCAAGCTGTGCACCGGGCGGGGGATCAAAAATAAACGCGTTTGTGAAGTGAGAGTGTAAACATAGCAGCAAAACCCTGGGCCAAATATCTGTCGATGGCATGCCCGATGCCACTTCGTGACATCCGTCGTCACCCTTCCGCGCGGAGCCCGCAGCGCGAGCGCCATGCCGAGCCCTGCTCCTCCTCCTCCTTCCTTCCTTCCTCCTTCCTCCTCCTCCTTCCTCCTCCTTCCTCCTCCTCCTTCCTCCTTCCTCCTCCTTCCTCCTCCTTCCTCCTCCTCCTCCTTCCTCCTCCTCCTCCTGCCGCGGTGCCGCTGCAGGACCGCTCCGCCGAAGCCGCCGGCTCCACCGCCGGGGGCGCCGCCGCGCCCCACGGCCTCGCGAGCCGCCCCGAGCTCCACGTGCAGGTCGGCGCGGCGGCGGAGCTCGACAGTGAGATGGGCAGGTGTTGCGCTCAGCTGCCCCGATGCGCCCTCTCCGAATTGCAACATGCACCGTGCCTCCGCCTCCTCCCTCCTCCTCCTCCTCCTCCTCCTCCTCCCCCTGCCTCCTCCTCCTCTCCATCCTCCTCCTCCTCCTCCTCCTCCTCCTCCTCCTCCTCCTCCTCCTCCTCCTCCTCCTCCTCCTCCTCCTCCTCCCTCCCCCTCTTCCCCTTTCCCCTATTGGTGGGAACGCAGCACGTGCCGTGCTCGGAACGTCCGCGTCAACGCGCTGCGTGTTGGCCCAACGTGTTGGCCCACGTCTTGGCGAGCGTGCCGTGCCGGACCTGCGTCTCCAGCTCACGTGTTGAGCGCCGTGTCAGCACGCTACGGGTTGCGTCTTGCGTATCGGGGCGGCTAAGGTGGTGCGTGAACCTCCCGGAGAAGGGTAGCGACGTGAAGCCCAAGGCGGAGGGCAGCTTGAAGCAGGAGAGGCAGGCGGGGAAGGCGGAGAAGGCCCCGGCTCCCGCCGAGGCGCCGCTCTGCGGGTTGGAAGTTAGTTTGCGTTCTTGTTTTGTTTCTCTCTCTCTCTCTTCTCTCTCTCTCTCTCTCTTTCTCTCTTTCTTTCTCTCTCTCTCTCTCTTTCTCTCGTCCTCTCTCTCTCTCTCTTTCTCTCCTTCTCTCTCTCTCTCTCTCTCTTTCTCGTTCCCTCTTTCTCTCTCTCTCTCTCTCTCTCTCTCTATATATATATATATTATATATGTATATGTATTTCTCTCTGTGTATCTCTCTCTCTCTCTCTCTCTCTCTCCCTCTCTCATTATTTATTTGCACGCGCGCAGCAGATTTCAAGATTGTCCTTCGCGCGCGCTCCAGCCCTGGCCCTCCTTGCAAGAGCGAGTTGCCGCTAGCCGCTGCGGGGTGCGTGCGAGGGGCGCGCGCGCGCGCCTCGTGCACGCGGCGCGCTCGGGCACCCCGCGATAACTACACCTGAGGCGTGCACGCGCGCGCGCAGAGCTCCTCCTCCTCCTCCTCCTCCTCCTCCCTCCTCCTCCTCCTCCTCCTCCTCCCTCCTCCTCCTCCTCCTCCTCCTCCTCTCCTCCTATCCTTATTCCTTATTAGAATATACTCCTACTCCCCCCTCAGGCCGGCCGATAGGGGCCGCATCCGGGTGGTCCATCCTAACCTGTAAAAAACAATACAAAATCAACATTTTTCTTATTTTTTCCTCTCGACATGGACGTCCTGTCGTCCACGGCGATAATCCATTGCAAAAAATACCACAAAGAGCACACGCGCGCGTTCATGTCAGAATCCTACCGAACACCGTGTGTTTGCAAGCATTTCAACATAAAAACATCAAAAACCCAATGTTTTTTTCACAAAAATTGTACAAATTTCCCGCCCGGGCTCTCTTGCTGAAATCATAGGAAAACCATAGGAATCTTAAGAATTCTGTCAAATCCAGCGATTTCACGTCATCGCGCGGTGCACTCGCGATGCTCTGTCATGCACCCAGGCCGCGAATCCTGTGCAAAAAATACATACCACAAGAGCACACTCGCGCGTTCATGTCAGAATCCTACCGAACACCGTGTGTTTGCAAGCATTTCAACATAAAAACATCAAAAACCCAATGCTTTTTCACAAAAATGCTTTGGGGTGTCCTGTCAGACCGTCGGGCTTCCTCCGGCCACCTCTGGCTTCCTGCGGTGTACCGGGCCATTCTCGACTCGTCTGGCAATGCGTGCGCGGCATTCAACACGCGCTCGCCAGTTCCCGTCGGCAACCGCCATCGCGGCCGCATCAGCTGTACCAAACCGGCTGGCCGGTGTGACTTCGGCCCCCAGTTGTGCCAGCTTTGCTTCTTATGTTGTGGGAGGGCGGGTGGGACTGGGCATGCCATGCTTGACTCGCTCGAGCTGGCTAGCTTGACTCCTACTCCTACTCCTACTCCTACTCCTATCCTACTCCTACTCCTACTCCTACTCATCCTTATTCCTTATTAGAATATCTCTACTCCCCCTCAGGCCGGCCGATAGCGGGCGCATCCGGGGGTGGTCCCATCCTAACCTGTAAAAAACAATACAAAATCAACATTTTTTTTTATTTTTTCCTCTCGACATGGACGTCCTGTCGTCCACGGCGATAATCCATTGCAAAAAATACCACAAAGAGCACACGCGCGCGTTCATGTCAGAATCCTACCGAACACCGTGTGTTTGCAAGCATTTCAACATAAAAACATCAAACCCAATGCTTTTTCACAAAAATTGTACAAATTTCCCGCCCGGGCTCTCTTGCTGAAATCATAGGAAAACCATAGGAATCTTAAGAATTCTGTCAAATCCAGCGATTTCACGTCATCGCGCGGTGCACTCGCGATGCTCTGTCATGCACCCAGGCCGCGAATCCTGTGCAAAAAATACCACAAAGAGCACACTCGCGCGTTCATGTCAGAATCCTACCGAACACCGTGTGTTTGCAAGCATTTCAACATAAAAACATCAAAAACCCAATGCTTTTTCACAAAAATGCTTTGGGGTGTCCTGTCAGACCGTCGGGCTTCCTCCGGCCACCTCTGGCTTCCTGCGGTGTACCGGGCCATTCTCGACTCGTCTGGCAATGCGTGCGCGGCATTCAACACGCGCTCGCCAGTTCCCGTCGGCAACCGCCATCGCGGCCGCATCAGCTGTACCAAACCGGCTGGCCGGTGTGACTTCGGCCCCCAGTTGTGCCAGCTTTGCTTCTTATGTTGTGGGAGGGCGGGTGGGACTGGGCATGCCATGCTTGACTCGCTCGAGCTGGCTAGCTTGACTCCTACTCCTACTCCTCCTCCCCCCTCCCCCCTCCCCCCCCTCCTCCTCCTCCTCCTCCTCCTCCTCCTCCTCCTCCTCCTCCTCCTCCTCCTCCTCCTCCTCCTCCTCCTCCTCCAGGCAGGCGGGCGCTCGGTCACGCGCTGCCGAGGGCAGCTGATAATGACTCCAGTTTAAGGGGAACGAACAATGACATGCATAAAAACTCGGAGGTCCGCGCGGATTCCTCGATCGGCGCTGGGGCCCCCTGGCGGCGCCTCCGCGCCGCCCCTGGCGCGCTCCGCGCGCCAGGGAGGGGGTCCAGCGCCGATCCGAGAAATCCGCGCGGACCTCCGAGTTTTTACGCTTATGTCACCTAGTTGCCCTTCCCCGGAGTTCCGACGTCGTCATTTTTCCAACATGCGGGGCCCCCGCAAGTCTCGACCCATTCCCCAGGACCGGATTTCCGGATCTCCATCCTGAGTCGTTTCTCTTGATGGCCCCGGGGCCCGGCGAGGGCCCCTCAAGGCCGAAGACGGCGAACAACCTCCTTCTTGATTCTTGTTCGATTGCTGGATCTCTGGGTCTATGGTTTGGCCGAAGAGCGGAGACGGGCATCCGGCTGCACGCGGCAGCGAACGCCTACGCGCGGAGAGGGCGGGCGGGGCTCCCAGAGCCGCCCCCCCCCCCCCCCCGAGGCCTTTCTTTTTTTTTGCGAGGGGGGGGGCCAGCCTGGGCACGGACAGCACGGGAGCCAACATAGTGCGCCTGAATGCGGCACAGCGTCAAACGGGCAAGCACGGGAACCAGCACGGTGACCCCTACAGGCATCATCTTCTTTGTTTTTCCCTTCCTCGCAAGTCACGCTCACTTGTCCTCCAAGGTCGGGGTTCGTGGCATCATCAGGTGTCTTTCTTTTTCGCGGGGGGCCCTGACTTCGGATCCGCTGTACTTTGGTTGACTTTCCGACTTAGAATTGTGTCGGAAATGCACCCCAAACGATGCGAGACAGTGTGGCGGAAATGCCCACCTCAGGAAGAGATAGCGCGGATACTTCCGCAGAGGTGTGGCGAAAACAGCGACGCCAAAGTGGAGCGGAAATCGGCATCAAAGGAGCTCAACAAACAGGGCGGAAATTTCCGCCCTACTTGCGAAACCCACCAACGTACGGCGGATCCGACGTCGGGGCAGTCGCCTGGCGCACCCTGGCCTCGCCGCCGGCCGCCCGCCCCCCAGTGCTGCGGCGTCGGCTCTCGTGGCCTCCCTCGCCCCCCTTCTGGCCCCCCGCCTCGCTGCCTCCTCCTCCTCCTCCTTCTCCTCCTCTTCCTCCTCCTCCTCCTCCTCCTCCTCCTCCTCCTCCTCCTCTTCCTCCTCCTCCTCCTCCTCCTCCTCCTCCTCCTCCTCCTCCTCCTCCTCCTCCTCCTCCTCCCCCCCTCATCCTCCTCCTCCTCCTCCTCCTCCCCTCCTCCCCCTCCTCCTCTCCTCCTCCCCTCCTCCTCCCCCTCCTCCTCCTCCTCCTCCTCCTCCTCCTCCTCCTCCTCCTCCTCCTCCTCCTCCTCCTCCTCCTCCTCCTCCTCCTCCTCCCCCTCCTCGTCCTCCTCCTCCTCCGTAGCCATTTTGGCTCAAGCCCCTGCGGGGGTCTCAAGGAGGGACCCCTTCGCGCGGCGCTCGTCGCGGGGGCGCAGCCGCGCGGGGCCGCGATGGCTCCGGTGCCGTGAAGATGATCCTCACGCTGCGCATTCCGGGAGACAGCATCAATGGAGAGCTCCAGAACCAGATCGCAGCCGTCGCCCGCAAGGTTGGCCCCACAGAGCTCATCGTGGAGTTCAGCGGCCACCCGTGCGGCTTCGAGGAAGGCCATCGAGGCCAACAGGAGGGCGTTCGAGGTGCGGGTCAAGAACAAGAGCTTGCCCATGGCCTCGGACCTCAACTGGGAGGACAGCATGAGTCGTCAGGGGAAGGTCATGGCGTCCGCTCAGAAGGAGGAGGTGGTGATCGACGACTGGCCAGGCCTGGGCGAGGCGCTACGGAAGGCTGGACTATCGGAGGTCACCCACCCGATGCTGCAGCTGAGCATCAACGAGGACATCTCGAAGCATCCGGTGACAGAGGCTGTGCAGAAGGAGCTGCCGAGGAAGAGGCCGCTCCCCAAGCTGCCGCAGCCCGCGGAGAAGACCGCATTCAAGAAGGAGATGAACAACCGCGAGGACATCGAAAAGCACCAGATGGAGGTTGTGCAGAAGGAGCTGCCGAGGAAAAGGCCGCTCCCCAAGCTGCCGCAGCCCGAGGAGGAGAAGGCATTGAAGAAGCGCAGGCCGTGGAGGCCAACGCAGGAGATGCACCGGCGGTTCACTACACGGGTGGCGATCTGGAAGTGCGAGGAGTGCCAGTACGCCAATTTCGGTTTCAGGAGGACCTGCAACATGTGTCAGGCCGACGCGCCTGTGGAGACGCAGTACCTGCACAGGAGGCAGCTGGAGGAGTTGTCGCACCTTTACCAGTTAACGGAGGACACGGAACAGGACCCCCGGGAGGAGCTGGATAACTTCAACGAGGAGAGCGCGCCTGCCCCACCGCCGTGGAAGCAGGCAGCGCGCAAGAATCGCTGGACCAGGAGGTCGGCTTGATCGGCACTGTCGCGAAGCACCCGAAGCGGATCGACAGCACCAGGGACAGCGCGCTGCGTGTCAATGCGGTGGAGTTCTTCCCCTACGCGCTCGGGGAGGACAGCCACATGCT